ATCTCATTGACATTGATTTACTCACTTTAATTTAAACAGTGCCTTTTAATTCAAAGAATTTTGTTGGGAAGGTATTCTTAGCATATGATCCCAAATGACATTATTTTTCTGTAGCAGTAATTCAATGGGAACTGGATTGAGTATGAGCTGGGTCATATGCCCCTTGGATGTGATTCCTGTGCCTACAAGTCTTAGTGTCATAGTCACAAGCACCATTGGCAAGTGGTTGTCCTTGAATTACTTAATAAAGGGCATACTCACATGTTATCACCTCTATGCTGCAAATACTGTAGGATCAGTTGTGAAAAACTGTAGAAAGACCTCAGTTATCAGCTGCCATCTTGTTTTTTTGACCTCTGCTTTCCCATGGGTTTCCCTTACACCTTCTACCTACAGGAGCTCTCTTTCTCCAAGTCCTGAACAAAATGTGACTGAGAAAGCTCCTGTCCTTAGAAGGAATTCACTCTTCATTCTAGATCCAGGCTCAGGTGATCCAGCCAGGAACCACTCTGAGGTCTTCTCCTGACCCACCCATAATCCACCCAAATATTTTCTCTCATTCTTTTTACTTTCTTGATAATGTCCTTTAATGCAAAACCATTTTTAATTCTGTTAATTTTTGTATATTGTGAGAGGTATCGGTTCAACTTCATTCTTTTCAATGTGGAAACCCAGTTGTCCCAGCACCATTTTTTGAAGAGATTATTCTTACCCCACTGAATGGACTTCACATCTTTGTTGAAAGACAATTGGTGATAGATGTATAGATTTATTTCTGGACTCTCAGTTCTGTTTTATTGGTCTATATGTCTATCCTTATGCCAGTATCATGCTGTTTTGATTACTGTAGCTTTTCAGTAAGTTTTGAAATTGGGAAGTGTGAATCCTCCAACTCTGTTCTTCTTTTTCAAGACTATCTTGGTTATTCGGGGCCCTTGGCAGTTTCATATGAATTTGAGAATTGGTTTTTCCATTTCTGCAAAAAAGGCTGTTGGGATTTTGATAGGGATTAAGCTGAATCTGTAGAATGCTTTGGCTAATATTGACATCTTTACAATACTAAGTTTTCCAATCCATGAATACAGGATATTTTTTCATGTATTTAGATCTATAATATCTTTCAGCTATATTTTGTAGTTTTCAGTGTTCTGTGTATAAGTCTTTCACCTCCTTAGTTAAAATTTATTCCAAGGTGTTTTATTCTTTTAGATGCTATTATAAATGGAGTTATTAATTTTCTTTTCAGATTGTTCATTACTGGTATAGAAGTACACATCTGATTTTTTTGTTTTTTTTCTTTTACTCAGGACCCTTTTTATGAAGGCCCGTGAAAGACATTTCTAGCTGGTGTTACCGTACCATACCAGTTGGCTTCAAGTTGATTCTGACTCATGGCTACCCCATGTGTTGCAGGGCAGAACTGCACTCGCTAGGGTTTTCATGGCTGTGATCTTTCAGAAGCAAATTGCCACGCCTTTCTTCCAAGGCACATTTGGGTCAGTTTGAACTGCCAACATTTTGGTTAGTAGTCAACTGCTTAACCATTTGCACCACCCAGGGACTCCCAACACAACTGATTTTTGTGTGTTGATCTTATAACCTGCAAATTTGCTGAATTTGTTTCTTAACTTTAGTAGCTTTTTTTTTAAAAAAAAATTTTATTGTGTTTTTGGAGAAAACTTTCATAGCAAATAAGGTTCTCATTTAACAATTTCTGTAATATTATTCAGTGACATTGGTTACACTTTTCACAATGTGTCAGCATTCTCATTATTTCCATTCTGATTGTTCTGTTTCCATTAATCTAGTTTTCTTTCTCGTCTTTGGTCTAGGGTAAATGTTGACCATTAGATCTCATTTAGATGATTGTTTAGAGGAGCACAGTACTCATGAGTGGTATTTATTCATGAGCTGCTCTGTCTTTTGGCTGATAGGTGACCATGAGGAGTGGTTTGAGTTCCAAGTTTAAAGGATATCCTGGGGCGATAGTCTCGGAGGTTCCTCTAGTACATATTGGTCCAGTAAGTTTGGCCTTATTTAGGAATTTGAGTTTTTATCTACATTTTTATCCCATTCTATCCAAGACCATCTATTGTATCCCTGGTCAGAACAGTCAGTAGTGGTAGCTGGACACCATCTAGTTCTTCTGGACTCAAGATAGGTGAGGCTGTGGTTCGTGTAGACAATTAGTCCTGTAGAATAGTTTCTTCTTTGAGTCTTTGGTTTCCTTCTTTCTCTTTTGCTCCAGACACTTAGAGACCAATAGTTGTATCTCAGGTGCTACTCACCAAACTAGGATGTAGAACATTATCCTTATGGGCTATGTTATGCTAATTAACCAGTTTGCCCCCCAAGATTTAGTAGCTTTCTTGTTGATTCTTTGGGATTTCCTACATATACAATCATATCATCTGCAAACAAAGATAGTTTTACTTCTTCCTTTCCAATTTGAATGTCTTTTATTTCTTTTTCTTGTCTAGTTGTGCTGGCTAGAGCTTCTAGTACAAAGTTGAATAGCAGTGGTGAAAACGGGCATCCTTGTCTTGTTCCTAATCTTAGGGGGAAAGTGTTCAGTCTTTCACCATTGAGCGTGATGTTAACTTGGGTTTTTCATTCAATAATTCTCTTGAACCTCCCTTCATTTGGGTTGAGGTGGAGGTACATACATGCTGTACACCCTACTCCCACTGGGGGATGGCACAGGCTTCCTGCCAGGAGGATAACTCTATTTCTTTTTTTTTTTTAATTGTTGTAATTAAATGAAGTTTACATTTCAAGTTAGTCTCCCATACAGAATTTTTTTTTTTACATACATTGTTATGAGACCCCAACCGCTCACCCCATTCTGCAACAGCACACTCCTCCCCTCCGCCCCTGATTCCCCATGAACATTCAACCAGCTCCTAACTCTCTCTGCCTTCCCATCTC